CCCCCGCCCGAGCCCCCCACAAGCCATATGTCCCCTCCATACCCCAGCATCAGCCCCCCCAAGCCCCTGGAGAGGGGCCACGCTGGGCTGGGCTGAGTTCCTCTCCCTCCCGGGATGGGAGAGGGCTCTGCCTGGCTGGTTCCCACCTCCGTGCATGGTGCGACTCCCAGACCCACTGGGGAGAGGATACAGGGTGGGCATGCATGTAGGATGGGGACTAGAGGGGCCAGCTTCTCTCTCCATCACTGGACTCCTTATGACTTCCTTCCATCCCACACAAGTCCCAGGTTGGGAAGGAGGAGCAGGGACAGACACGAGCACTACAGCCTCTGGGAAAAGCAGCGCTGGAGAGGGGAGCTGTGTTTCCACACCCTGAAAGCACATGTGTGCTCACCGCGGTGTGAAACGGGTAAACCAAAGTGCTGCTGTGGTAACGACAGGACTTTGCTTCGGTACTGGTAGGAAGTAGGTGAGATGGGACCTGGCCTCAGCGTGTGTGTGGTGTTGTGGTGCCAGAGCCCACTGGGGTGACGGCAGCAGGGCAAGGGTCTGGTGGCCACTCTTCAGCCTGGTTTGGGGTGCAGAGTGCTGGGATACCCTATGTGCTGCATCTCTGGGGTGCCTCAGAGGCCTGGCAAGCTCAGCACACCAGTAATAAAGGCACTGGGTTGTTTCAGGCTTCCTTGGGCCACACATCCTATCCTGAGGGATGCAGCGTTGTTTGAGAAGGCACCAGGCTTCAGGAGTGTCTTCCCTTGATTTCACCCCTCACTCGTGACTCAAAACTGGCACCTTGGGTGCTGCTCTCACGTCTCAGCTCAGGGCCACTCCAGCCCCCAGTGGAAGAGCAGCAGCTCTCCTTGGCACGGACCCATCACCCACATCCCTTGTGCCCTGCTTGGGTCTCTCCCAGACCCACAAACCCCCAGCAGCGGGGTGCGATTTCTGGCAGTGGGACCTGCCCCATCCTGCTGCGGGCATCGCCTTGTGAGCAGCGGGTTTGGGGTGCCGGCACGTCGCGCTGTGCAGCAAATGCCACAGCAACGAACCCGCGCCAAAGATTTCTGCTGGGGAGCAGGGATGGGATGGGACGGGACGGGACGGAGAGGGGAGGGAAGAAGAACTGGCCGAGCCCTGGCTGCTGGGGTGGAACGCAGGAAACGGCCATTCGGGCCCTTGCGGAAGGGAGGTGCCGGCGGCATACTGGCCTGGGAGCCGGGGGGAAAGTTGCCTCCCGGGGTGCCCTGGACATGGTCACACAGCCCCGTGCTGGCACCTGTGGGCTGGAGCCTTCTGACACCCTGCCTGGGGTAAAGCCTCCCCCGCTGCACCCTCTCTGGGGCAGCAGCTGAGCCAAGAGCCCCCTTGCAGGAGATTTCAGAGGACTCCCTGAGCCTCTGTGGGCTGGATCCTGCCTCCCGGGGAGCACCTTCCCACACTGGCATTTTACATACCATCCCAGATCCAAGTGCTTCCTTAATCCGGAGGGATGTGAGTCCTTTTATCTCCCCCTCCAGGCAGCTTTGCTCAGATTTGCAGCTTCCCCTCTGCATATCCCCAGCCAGACACACACCCCCCCTCCCCGGGGCGGGTTGGCCTCTGCTGGTGCTGGCACTGGTGCTTCCTTCCCCCAGCTCAGCTGAGGGACCAGCCACCCTCTCCCTCCTCCTCCTCTTCGGTTGCAGCGAGTGATGAGGGAGGGGAAAACCCCGCTCCCGAGGGGGTCAGGGCTGTCACTCCAATCCCGGGGAGCTCACCTGCACCCCAGGCTGCAAGGGTGGCAGGACCTCAGGGGGAATCAGGCTGAGGCCAGGCCAGGTCTGAGTTTCGTGGCGGATGAAGATCCCGCAGCCTCTCTGGGCTCCTGTAGTATTTTACCATACTCACAGGGGGAAAAAAAAAGTTTCCTAGTGTCTAGATGGAATTTCCCTTGATGCAACTTGCATCGGGTGCCTGTCCCCATTTCGCTGTACACCTCCTCAGAGAGTCTGGCTCCCTTTTCCTGTAACTCCATCTGAATAGCTGCAGGAAGCCAGGAGATCACCCCAAAGCCTCCCCTTCCCCAGGCTGGGCAGGTTGGTGATGTTAAACCCCGCTTCCTCCCACCACACCAGCTAGGTGATGGGAAAACCCCTGTCTGCAATGCTCTGCATCACCACGGACCCAAGCCACAGGTGGAAGGGGGGCTGCTCCCGAGCTCCATTCCTCTTGGAGAGGAGGTGCCCCATCCCCGGCGGGAAGTGGGCTATGAGGTCCATCTCTGCCCCCAAACCCAACCCAAGAGCTTTCCCGGAGCAAGCAGGGAGCGGGAGGAGAGACGAGAGCTCTCAGCCCTCGCTGGTACCTGTTGTGCCTCTGCGGGGGACCCCGGGGCAAACCCCACACAGGTTGTCCCCCCACCCCCAGGCAGGTCCCCTGGGGCCTCCCTGCACCCCTGGGTGCCTCCACCCACGCGCTGCCTCCAGACGCTGACTCAGCTCTGCTCCTGGGGCCTCAGTCGGAAAACCAGCATTGCCCCGTGACGCTGCCCACGCCACGGGGAGCCCTGGGGCCCTGGGGGACACCAGCAGCTCTCCCCCCCAAGGGGCAGCAGCCTCCCTGCCTGCTCCTGGAGGGTGTTTGCTGCCGAGCGGTGGGTTTGCACACATTTCCTCTGCAAAAGATAGAAACCTGTGAAAAAAGCAAGCAGATCCGGGTTGTTTCCTCCCTCCCTCCAGGCAGGTTTGCTCAGCTTTCCTGCAGTAAAAAAAAGGGGGTTAATTCCCCAGGGGATGGGGTGTGAAGCACGGGGCTGTTTGGCTGGGAGTACTCAGGCAAAACCCTCAGCGTATTCAGGAGCATCGGTGACCAGAGCCCTGAGCTGCCCTGGGGAATCAGAGGTGGAGCAGAGTGGGGAAACTGAGGCACAGAGCAAGGGACGCGCACACAGTCACCCTCTGTGCGGTACGGAGCAGAGGAAGGGCAGCAGGATCTGCTTTTGAGGAGCCCTCGCAACGCTGCTGCTCCGGGCTCGTGGGAGGCCGTGGGTTTGTGGCCACCTCTGCCAGCTCCCACGCCCCGTGGGGAGGGAGAGACGCCCCGCATCCTTCCATGACCTGTTTCGGGTGACACAGGGACGTGTCCCCCTCATGGCCATTAGAGAGCAGCACCGCTATGGCACACCGCCCGCACACAGCCGCACGCTGGGGGCCAGCAGCACAGCCAGGCCCACCCCGCAACACCAGAGCCCCCAGGAAGCCCAGGACTGGGTGCCCAGGCACCGAGGGGCGAGGATGGACATCTCCAGTGGGATAGTCCTGCAGGTCCCCAGTCCTGGACTGGCCACCCGCAGGGGACTGACCTTTCGGAGCTGTTTGAGGGGCACGGGGCTGGGCTGGAGCCCGGGCAAAGGATGCCCGAGGGGCAGCTACTCAAGGGACAGACTGGACAGAGA